TTATCCGCCATGGCGGCCGAGTATGAACCCGTATGACTATTTTTTTGTAAAAAAGAGACAATCGTTTCAAGGAATCCATCACAATAATGCAAATGAGAGTATCCGTAGTTTAGAGCGGTCGCGAATGAGCGTCAACAGAAGTGGACTTGCTGATCTATATGACGTTGTCTAATATGTTGATAGAACGTTGTCAGAAATGGCAAGCGATTATATTGATGGAATATTATTTTATAGAAAGTGGTATCTATGGTAGTAGTCTTTTTCAGTCTTTCCGGCGAACGGGATGGTTGCATGGGCATTTTCGTGGTTTTCCCCATGTGTAACGTGGATACGAGCCAGTTTCCCTTATAAAGACCTCCACGGGACATCTCTCCATTTCCGTGTAGTGCCCATGGGTGGAGCACATAATAAGCAAAAAAAATGTATTTTAATAATAAACAAATAAAAAAATGTTTTTTTTGTAAGGGTGCTGTTCTGTGTAACTCAAGAGGTACTTTATTCCATAAATAATACGGTTTTCTACTATCATTTAGGTATAAAAGTACTGAATATAAACAGAGCTCAACTTTTGAGCGAATTGTCTGTCTGAAAACTCAACATACCAAGCAGTTTCATTTTAAAACGTTTATCCCTAACTGTATGAACACTGCAGCTGTACTGACATAAATATCATATTGTTTTTCTTACAAATTATTAGCGACTGATACAGATAGCGAGTTCAGTAGGAGAAGGTTTGTTTTAAACATTATAGTTAAAAATTATTGCAAACATTTTCTAATATTGTAAGAACATGATAATTCTTAAATTCACGTAAAGAAAAGTTGCTTTTCAGATTTTAGATAAATGCAAAATTCGAAATTCGAAATTCTGAAATCATCTCAATTAGGAAATTCCCTTTTATTCGCGAATAAAAATTATTTTATGAGCTTCCGTTGAAACTGAAATTAAGTACAATATTTTAATATAGAAAAAAATCTTAATAACGTACATACTGAAGTGCAAGATTAACTTATATGCCCGCACGCTATATATGCATATATACATTCTTCTGTACAGTTTTGCACATACGAAGTGCTTAGTAGCACTTTAATAGCACTTTGCATCTACTTAATAAAGGCAGTTCTAATAGAAGCAGTTTTACTTACCTGCATCTCTAAGTAGATTAAATAATCAATGAAAATAATCTAAAACCGATTGGACCTCGATTGAAAACCGATAAAAGACTTTAAAGGCGCTTAGAGGGAGGATGAAAAGTTTAACATAACTCCTTTCAGTGAAATCATATGGTAATGTGCAAAGATGATTCAATGAGTTCCGCTAGCAATAAATTTTTACCTATCATTAAGATAAAAACAAATGAGAGGATAGATGCAAAAATAAATTAAACAGCCTTTTTATGAAATATGCCTTTGAGTTGAGCAAACTCGTTGATATTTTTACTGTTGCTCTGAATTTTCTATTGATTTTACAATATTTTAAAGATTAGACATTACGTCAATATGTTACACTTGTAGGATGAATCAGTGTATTTGCAGTTTTAAATTATTTGAAACCAAATGATTATAATGAGCTACAAAATCTGTTAAGAAGAAAGCTTTGATCATTATATATAATCTGGGTTTGATTACGAGCGATATGAACTGTGGATGTAGATGAAGGAAAGATAAACAACTGTAATTGACATAGATTTTATTTTAGCCAGGAGCACCATCAGCGATTGTTTTTTTCCCTGCTAGTTACGAAACTGCGTGTACTTTTCCCTGCTAGTTACAAAACTGCATGTATAATAATCTCAACTTCTGAATTTGTTTCTCTTCTGTCAATAAAATGCTCATTTCGATCCTTAAAACTCTATTCCTGACATGAATTAAGATATTGTAGTATTCCTTACGATCCTGTAGTATCGTATGTAGTATGTAGTATCAGCGTATGTATAGTATGGCATTAAGTATGGACTTCATTTTGAATTGACTGTAGGAACATATTTATAGACTGATTTTTTTTTTATTTATAGACACGTATTTTTGTGACAAGAACGAATAAAATTTAATCAAAATCTTTGATTGAAGATTTGAATAAAATTTATTTAATTATCACAGCTTAGAATTAAATTTCCATATCTGTACATTTCCAGGAGCGTCACTTGTTCGTTCTTGGTTAAAAATAAATACCATCATCTACTCATTTTTATAATAAAAATGTTCTATATGTTTGGAAGTGAATTTATGTACGAAAAAGTTCTTTTTTGATTAAGGGTAAGAAACGAACTAGGTTGAGGGAAGAACATCGACCATTCGTGACATAGATATTTTCTGAGTCAAAAACATTCTATTAAAAATTGGATTAATAAACATATTTTATTAATCAATAATTAATTACATTCTATTAAAAATTTCTTATGCAATGATCTATTTTAGAGAAGTATGCTTGCTGAGAATAGAATATTTTAAATATTTGCTTATTGTGAAGTTAAATATTTACTTACTCGGAGCAGCTAACGAAATTTTAATTAAACGCAAAACACATAATTTGATATTTCTTCAAATTTCTTGTTTTATTTATCAATTTTCTCTCCACTTACTTTCATTACTGCATGAAAAATTAAATTGGTATGAATAGGGAAACCACATAATATGCAGAAAATCAAAGATAGTTTAGTAAATTTAAGGAGTTCTGTGTATTATTAAGAATACATAGCATATACTGAAATGTTTCTTCAGTTTTTGCGGAAAAGCAGCTTGTAGAAATAGGTAGTGCTGATTAATACAAATATTAATTTTGTTATTAACATTTCGTATTATTATCAGTTAATTTTATGTTTAGAATTTAGTATAAGAACAAAAGTATTATACTGGAAACTAGTGATATCAAGATTTCAATTGGAAATTTAAAGTATTAAGTTTAACACATTGAAAGCAAATAAAATAAGTAGAAAACGTTTTCTGGAGAGGACACAATTTTTATTTGAATAATTCATTTAATACTGGGGTTTCCAACAGGGTCGGTAAGGATCTCCTGGAGATCGTAGACATTTTTGTAAAGGGTCTACGATAATCAAATGCTCGAATGGTCGATGGCCAAATATTCACCGGAATTGATCAGCATAATCACGATCCCATTGACTACAAAAATGAATTGATATTTATAATAAATTGTTTTTTTTGCTATAAAACGTTATCTTGCAAGTCAAGTCTTATTCAAAACATATAGGTATGTTAAGTTTCGAAAAAGTCATTCGAGAGAAATATCCTGAAATTAAAACTGTTTACCGGACCAACATTAATGACTTTTCCTTCGTCTCACCCAGTGGAAGAAAGCTTCAGTCAAGGCAATAACTTATTGCAAAAAACAAGAGCTACATTTAATTTTTTTCAACAAAGTCATTAAAAAATTCAGCAATTTTATACCAAATATTCAAAAACTTGCGCCAACACATCAAGCGCAGTATTCACTTTTAGTAAAGGCGAACTTTTTTGTAATTAGAAGCTGTGTCAGACAAAAAATAATGAGAATTTTATATAATAAATTAAATAGTATATAAATGTTATAATAAACATATAAGTTAATATATTAATTATTAATATAGTGTTATAAATACTAAACTAAGATACAAAATATTGGTAATGTACATAATAAATAAATAATATATATTGTAATATGATCTTGGTACTAATGATAATTTTAAGTAAATTACAATTATAAAATTAAAAATAATAAGAAACCAAAAAGATAATAATGTTGTTACGAATTTTTATTTAGTTTATTTATAGTAGAATGAGATACATTATGATGACATCACAGATCACGTGACTTATGCATAGCTAATGTAAACAAACAATGCAGATGACCTCAGATATCACATGACTTATGTATAGCTAATGTAAGCAACAAGGTCATTCTAGCTCTTCTTCTCGTGCGTAGCATATCTCATTATAATTAAAATTGTTTTATTTTCCCGTGCAATGCAGCACGAGACGTATTTTAAGAGAAAGCCACGCCGGAAAATTAAAAATACAGGAGGACGTGCATTTAACATTTAATAAATAGATATCTCGTAATTAATATTTAAATTGAATAAATATAATTAACTGCTATGTTAGCTGTAATCGCAGTTCTACTCTTTCGCTTTCCAGAAATTTCGAGAAATTACTAGACTCTCACGCGACCGATTTAGAGATATAAAAAGCCAGACAGAGAACATCTCTTCTCAAGGATTTTAAAGTTTATGGAATTAAAGAATTCTGGTTTTAATTCAGTTGTTAAAGTAGTTTGAAAGTTAGTTGGAATTGTGAATGAGATACATTCCGATGACCTCATTTATCACGTGACTTATGTATACCTTTTGTAAACAAACAATGCAGATGACCTCAGAGATCACGGGACTTATGTACAGCTAATGCAAACAATCAAGGTCATTCTTCCTCTTCTTCTCTTGCGGAATGTATCTCATTGTTTGAAATGTGAAATTCGTTACTGAAGTAAGTAAGTTGGTGTTAAAATACGTTTCTGAAAATTTGTGACTTGTGACGCGCTTTCGAAACGCTTTAAATTACATCAGTGTATAAAGTTTATACAAAGCTGCGGCTACCAGTAGCTAACAGCTAGGTTGGAGCTAGCCATGTCAGAAATAGAGATAGATGATTTACGGAAATAATCTAGATGAACAGGTTATCCGTTACCTACCGAAGGAAAAGTTTAATGAGATTTATAATCTGATTATGGAAAAGATACAATTAGAAAAATCAGGTCTGAAAGCAGGACCGGTTACTGAGAGAATTCAGCGTATTTCAGAGCAGTTAAGTGATTTCCAGCTAAATATGCAAGCACAGGAAACCCCTAAAATTAAGAGGACAAATTCTAAGCCTAAAACGAAAAACGTGGTCGATGAGGACGGTTTTATTGCCCTTCGTAATACTTTAAAAAGAACGCGATCTGAGTCTGAGATAAATGAACCAGTTCAGAAAAAATAAATTTCGCGGATTTACAGGAATGACGACAAAATGGATAGTGCAGATACCGAAGGTGTGAATTTATTGCCCCCAGAACAAACGGCAAACCATATTCCCCCAATCGTGTTAGACGAGTTCAGTGGCGACTGGGATAAGATAAAAGAGAGAATACAGGAAGATTTAAAAATTAAAAGTTACAAAGCTGGAATGAAAGAAGATACCCTAACCATTCGAGCAAAAACCCTGATGATTATAGAGCGATCACAGGCATGTTCGCAAGTGAAGGAGTCCCTTTCCACACTTTTAAAATTAACACAGATAGACCGCTAAAAGCGGTGATGAAAAAGCTACCCAGAACGATGAAAGTAGAAGCTATTGAAAACGAGCTGAAGGAGTTAAAAATACCCGTAGTAAAAAAAAAAAAAAAAAAAAAAAAAAAAAAAAAAAAAAAAAAAAAAAAAAAAAAAAAAAAAAAAAAAAAAAAAAAAAAAAAAAAAAAAAAAAAACAAAAAAAAAAAAAAAAAAGTGAGGCAGCTGACCAGCTGCCTCACTTTCACTATCAGAAGGTCAGATAGTGAAGCTATCGTTGTTTCTAGTTGAAACCAAGCGAAATGATGATGGAAAGAAGATTTGGAATTTGGAAAAACTTCGAGGACTTGATGTCGTAGTCAGACAGTACAAGAAGAGCCTGGACCTGTGCAGTGTCACAGGTGCCAGCGTTATGGGCACTCAAGAGAGCACTGCCATTACAGAGCCCGCTGCATGAAATGTGCAGGCTGGCATGAAACGTTCACTTGCAAAACTCCCAAGGAGAAACTACCGGCGCGCTGTGCGCTCTGTGATGGAAGTCATGTCTCGTCGTACAAGGGATGTGAAAAGTATCCTAAAATCCAAAGAAATGAACCCCAACTCTCAGCAAAAGAGCAGGAAGCTAGATTTAATTTGAATAAAGATGACTTCCCCACCTTGCCAGGTGGAAAAACTGACGAAAACGCCAAAACTTGGCCCAGTTGGGCGAAAGGCGGAAAACCTGAAGAGAACATATTTGATTGGTTCAAAAAGCAGCTTTGCAAAGTGAAGGAACTTTTTACGAAGTTTAAGTCAGCAAAGTCCCTAATGGGTAAAATTGAAGTCGGCATGGAAGCCATCGAATACATTTCAAATATTGAATATGAGTTCTAATAACTATGCTCACGTGACAAATCTGATCGATGCGACGTATTCTTACTTAAGGATATCCCTTTTCAATGCAAATGGTGTTTACTACAAGAAACTTGAATTAGTGGACTCATGATATTGACATTATGTTGATAAGTGAGAGTCATCTCAAGGCTTGTGATAAATTCAAAATCCCAGGTTATAGCGTTATTAGAAGCGATAGGCTCAGGACTACACGTGGAGGTACTGCAGTTGTGATCAAGAATCACATCAAATTCAACACTATCAAGCTCCAGACGACGACGAGATTAGAATACACTGCAATTCTTGCTAGCAGTACGACCAATGAGAACTACCTTATAGTAGCAGCGTACAACCCCCGCCGGATATCAACTTACAGGACTCGACGAATTTCCCTACCATACTTGCGGGTGATCTAAATGCAAAAGATCGCTCCTGGGGAGCCAGGATGGGTAACAGAAATGGTAGTCTGCTTAAAAACTATATCTATGCAAATAACTTACAGCTAGTCACCCCAAGTGAATACACTTTCTACTGTCGAAGTGGCGAAGACATACTAGATATTGCATTACTTAAAAATATTAGTCAGACTCCCTACTTAGAAGTCAAGAAAGAAAATGTCGTCAAACCACTATCCAGTAGTGTTTGATTTTCACGGCTTTCACCCTGACCCTCCAAGGAAACGCACTAAAGTGAATTGGACCAGCTTTACAGATAAACTACGGAACATGCCTTGTAATCCCCATCTGAGAGACAGCGGGGAAATTGAAAGTGAAATTTATTCGCTGACTTCCAAAATTCAAAATGCGATTAAGAGTTCTTCATATGCTTGCAGAGATACCTTAAGGAATAAACTCCCTGAAGATATATCTCACGACATAAAAGCAGAGAAATAGAATTAGGAAAAGGTTTAATGTTACGCAAGACCCTTCACTTAAAAGGACTATAAACTACCTCAACAGGAAAATTCAGGCCGGCATCATGGAATTCAGGTCAAGTCATTGGGATAATATTTTAGAGCATTTTAGCACTGATACAAGCTCTATGTGGAAAATTGTGAATGCGATGAAAAAAGATAGAACGTATCACATTGCTCCAATTAGTCACGTGGGATCCAACCACTATTCTGAAGAAGACATAGCCAATGTGTTCGCAGAGAAACTTGAGGAGACGTTTTAGGCCTAACCCCTCGACCAACCCTCAGCACGAAGAGGAAGGTTCAAAATGTCGTTAACATGCTCAAAAACAGGGATAATACGGATTATATAAAATTCATCTCCCCGAAAGAAGTCCATGTACTATCATTAAACATATCCAATACCAAGAAAGCTCACGGGTTTGACGGGATCAGCAATCGTGCTCTGAAGGCACTCCCTCCAAGGTGTATAGTGCTACTTACAAACATCTTTAATGCTTGCATCAGGACGAGTTATTACCCTTCGGAGTGGAAAAACACTCGATTATTATCACTATACTGAAGCCGGGGAAAAACCCCTCACTTACAGACAGTTATCGTCCTATTAGCCTTCTTCCGTCTATCGGAAAAATATTTGAGAAAGCTTTATACAACAGAATTACAGACCAGCTAGAAAGATTGGATCTGATAGACTCGGCCCAATTTGGTTTCCGGAAACATCACAGTACAACCCATCAAGTACTAAATATCGTTGAGATTATCACGACAGCTTTTTTCCACAAGACTGGTGTGGCAGCATGCTTCATAGACCTTGAGAAGGCCTTCGACAAGGTTTGGCACGAAGGACTGATTTACAAGCTAAATAACTTCCTTTTTTCTGTCAGCCTTGTGAATTTAATCATCTCATACCTAAAGAGAAGAACCTTCCAGGTGAGAGTTGGAGACTCCTTTTCCGGAAGGAAAATCATTGCCAGCGGCGTCCCGCAAGGGTCTGTTATTGGCCCAAAATTATTCAACATTTCGTTAATGATTTACCCAACCCACTGAATGCTAAAACCCTGAAATATGCAGACGACACGGTGATTTTATCGGAATCTAAAAGCCCCAACTTGCTCTTACTAACCTACAGTTTCACATCAACATAGTAGCTGCTTGGTGTCAACTTTGGAGAATTAAAAATTAATACCGCGAAATGTAAAATTGTCCAATTCCGTCGCTACAGAAGAAATGTCACTACGAACACGGATATCAAGATAGAGAATGATGTGATTCCAGTTTGCTCGTCCGCAAAGTACTTGGGAGTTACCCTAGATGATAGGCTCACCTTCAAAGAGCACGTAACCAACCAAGTAAATAAAGCAAACGGAGTTTTCATGTCGCTTTATACTGTTATAGGTAGGAAATCGAAATTGAGCTTAAAAGCTAAACGCATGATCTATCTCACTATGATTAGGCCAGTTATGCTCTACGCCGCCCCAGCGTGGGCAATTGCCAATAAGACGGATAGGAGAAAACTAGAAGTCCTTCAAAACAAAATTTTGAGAGCCATCACTAACGCGCCCTGGTTTGTACGAAATAGCATCATTCATGCAGACTTGAAAATAAAGCCCATTCCTGAACAAATCCTCATGGAGGCGCACAACTTCTTCGAAAAAATGGATAATTCTCCAGTGCACACGCTAAGAGAACTCGGTAATTATGACCCTACGGTGGACAGCGTGGTGAAGAGACCTCGGTCAATTCACCATAATGCGCGGTGGTGGTGTAAATATGTAAATAGTGTACATATGAAGTTGTGTTTTGTGCTCTATCTAACCTTATTTAACCAAGTACTGTGTTACTGCCAAAATTGGCTATTTGCCTGGAAGCAGGCTAGAGACTCTGAATTAATTATATGTGTTAAGGACTGTGTATTGTGTGATCTCACCACGCCCACTGCTGTGGTTCTACTCCTGATTACCTGCTGGACTGCGCACCCTATCTCAGTAACCTTACGCTACTATCCTGACCGAATGCATCATGCATGGACTTGAATGCTGGATGATTTTGTTTTCCAAGTACTAATTTCCCAATTTTCGTATATTCAGCATGACTTCGCCATGGAATGATTGCACCTTGTTCTAATGTCACGCCCCCGGGCGAGGTGCAGTAGCACCTTAATGTACTAAAAACCGTGAAATGGCCTTTATAGGCTGCACAGATTGTACAGGTCAAAACTCAAAGTAGTTGTATACCTGAGGTGAATCAGAAATAAATAAATAAATAAATCTCTTCTCAGTTGTTTAGTTAGCTGCCGTTGTTATTTTCTTCGAGTTCAGCGCGAAATCGGATTAGCTTTCTCTTTGCATTGCTTCTAACGTTTTCAGTAATTTAAAGTATAACTACTGATTATATTGCGTGATATTGGGATATTTTGCGAATATCTCTAAAGAAAATTCCAGCATTGTGTTATATTTCTTTCGATAAGAATAGATTTTATTAACTTTTTTATTGGACTTGTGCAGTCAATCTATTACAAACTCGTACCCACGCAACAATATATAAGTTTAATAAACCATTTTTTCCGAAAGCGTTTTTTCATATTCTTACTAATTGTTATCTTTAATTTACGTACTACGTGTAATTATTTGTACCATGATTATATTAGTTGCTATATATTATGGAAAAAAGTGTAAAGGAGTCGATAAAGAGAACTATGCTTTTAGAAGGGGTTGAAGCAAGAAAACATTTGCTCTTGTGTAGTATATTGTTTATTTTCATATCTTATGCAAATTATCTGCAACTAAAGAAACTCAAAAATTTGAAAATGGAGAAAGGAAACATCTTTGTTTATTAACTTTTTAAATGGTAGACTTGGGAAAAAGTTTAAACGAATAGATGCAATTAGTCGTTCTAAAGAAATAATTTTATGGCTTTTTGATTATTATCTTATCATTTATTAGGTTTATATTATTGTTATTATACTTATTACGCTATGTTCAAATTATTGGTATGTTTTAGTGCTATGTTTGGTTCATAAAAGAAATTCAGAATTTTAGAATTATAATAAACTTATTGTATATAATTGAGCAGATTTTCATGTTTTTGATATCCTCAGCCAAATGTACACTCTTTCATGTCTGCAGAATATTTAGTTGATAATAAATAATTTCTGAAATTATAATTTAGTACATCAAATATTGAATGTAATTTAAGAAATTCATTACACATAGCAAGCAATAAAGACATTTTAGATTGGTAAAGCAAGCCAGAGTATGACTTTATTTATTTCTTACTTATAGAATTGATGCCCTCATAGGAAAAAAATAATGAAATATTGCCAAAACATTTCTTGGTGAAATCATATAATTGGAAGCTTCTTAAGTGTGAGGATATATGCCATGAGCTTAAACTTGAATCTACCAAACATACATTTGAAATAATAAATGAAACGGATGAATTCTAATACAAAAAAGCAGACACAAATGGAATACACTGAATAAAAATAAACATCAAGGAAATTCAATTTACCGATAAATTAGTCCTCAGACAAAAAACACAAATTATGTATAATGGGAGAAGGGGAAAAGTATGCGAATGTGTTTGAAATTTTCAGAACCTAGAGATAAAAAACGTGAAACAAGCGCAAATACAGTACATCATTTCCATACTAGATTTCATCAAAACCTTTCCATCAGTTCTGCAGTTAAACGGCCAAATGTGGAAATTCTATTAATTTTGAACACCAGTGTATATACTGTATATATTATATATATATAATATATATATATATATATATAGCACTTACATAAGCATAAATATAGCACTTACATAAGCCTCATATATATATATATATATATATATATATAATATGAGGCTTATGTAAGTGCTATATTTCATGTATGCATGTCATTTAAAATAATAAGCAAGAATTCTGTTTGCTTGATCTGTATGTCGCACTACCGTTTGACAATAAATAAGCTTAAAATTATCTTCAAAGCAACAAACATTTCGCTGCCTCTCCTTTCGCTAATAATTGTTTTTACATCCATAGAATGAAAGTCATTGTATTTAGTTCAAGAAACTCAAAATGCTTATTTCTAGTTTTATTTTGGCTGCATATCCAAATAAATTTCACACATAAAATAAGACAAAGTGAAGTTCCTTTTTTTAAACGAAATTATGCTCTTCGTGGCATTTAATTTACTATTTGAGGCTCTATTAAAATATTTAACTTATGCTCTTTGCAAAGTCTGTACAAAATAGGAAGAAATCAAGAAACAGTAAAGATTTATTTCCTTACTCAGTCGTCAGAATCGTATAGAAGCATCAAGTTCTAAAGATAATTTAAAAAGTTTATAATGCAATTTGACTGCACAAGTATTAGATTCGTTTTCCAACAATTTGACTAATAAAATTTTGTGTTTTACGTTCATGTTAAAAGAATATTTATTCCACTGTTCATTATATTTCCTGCTGCATCAATTTTTACAGCTGATTGCACATATAAAAATAATAATCTTGTGTTAGATTGTTAGCAGTTTTTTAATTTATATATTTTGTAAGCATAATATCTTTATAGACAGAAACTTTTGCTTTATATGATAAAAACAGAAGTTGTCTACCTGATAGAAAGGAACAGAATGATCATAGTAACTGCTAAGTCTCATCTACCGGGGCACTATTTTTTCTAGCTACAGAGAGTTTTGAATTTATGGTGATTTCTCCAGATAAAACCTGCATGTCTGTTTTGCATTGTTCTTTCCTCTGAAAGGAAAGTAGTTCTGGGCCACTGAATGGTTTCTGTCTTGTTGCTGTATCGATTACTAAAAATGACCGCATCTTTGAAAGGGGTTTTCCACATATTGTAGTCATGTCGATGCGTCAAAATGTTAATGACTAAACATTTCGAAAATTAATTTCTTACTGACATTACCCGTGAGTAAACGGAAATTAAGTAGAATTTAATTGCAAAATATTCTCACATTTTTTTCACATGAAGTACTCAGACTGAAAAAAAACCCTCTTTCAAATGTATATTGAATTACAACTTAAGATGGGTGAAAAAACAAAATAATTTTTAATGCTTCCAAATATACACTTTTTTCAGTAATTTAACTAATTCGCTTTAGCAGCTTCACATAATACATGTATCCATATTTTGCAAATATGTATAATGCATTAATCCCAACATTGTAAATAGATTAGTGACATCCTACTTTGTTTTTTTAGAAACATGTATGGATGTGCATTCGATGTGCAGAAAGGTATCCGCAACTATCGGCGAATTCCCCTGCTTCAGATTCGAACATCAGTCGTGATGGAGTGCCTGTAGATAGGAAACGACGAACATCAGAAATTGCTATGCAACCTGTTGACCCTCGCATGGCAGGGCAGACACCAACTCCAAGAGGAAGGTCAGATAGCCTTCCATCACAGAGGCCTCGAATGCCTGTGCAACAGAGACAACCTCAGCAAGGCCCACAAATGAGACAGGAACATCAACAACCTCGACAGCAATATCCAGCTGATGATTCCCAAATACGACAGCAAAGTTCCTCGCCACGAGCTCAACATCCCCAATCGCAAACTTTACCAAGACCCCGGCATCCTGGAGACCATCAAAGACCCCAACATCCAAATGAACAAAAAGTACCTCCACATCCAAATGAACAGTTAAGACCTCAGCGTCCGATGCAGCAACCAAGAGATCCTTCGAAGGAACAACAGAAACATCCATATTCTCCTGAGCAGCAGAGACTTCAACAACAAGCAGAGTATCAAAGATCACAGCATCCAGTAGATCACAGGAAAACACAGCATCTTACCGAGGAACAGAGATCTCAGATGTCACCAGAACAACAAAGGCAGCACAATTTAGAGCAGCAAAAAGCACTTCAGGGAGCTGTAAGGTCTCAGTATCCTCCAGAACAACAAAAACAACAAAATCAGCTGGAGACGCAAAGGCCACAGCGCTCTTCAGAACAGCAGAGACCTCTGCGTCCTACGGAACAGCCAAATGCGCAATCAATGGACCAACAGAGGAATCAACATCCAATGGAGCAACAATGGTCTCAACATCCTATACAGCAGCAAAGACCACAGCATCCAGCTGAACAACAGCAAAGGTTACCACATCCAGCTGAACAGCAAAGGCCACAGCATCCATCTGAACAGCAACGATCTCAGTATCCAATAGAGCAACAAAGGCCTCAGTATCCTATACAGCAGCAGAAACCTCAATATCCAGGAGAACAACAACGATCTCAACACCATGGAGATCAACAGAGGTCACAGCAAACTATGGATTCCCAAAGATCTCAATATCCTGTGGATCAACAAAAACCTCAGCATCCAGTGGATCAACAAAGACCTCAACACCCAGTGGATCAGCAAAGATCCCAACATCCAGCTGATCAACAAAAACCTGAGCAAACAATGGATCAAATCAGAGCTCAACACCCAATGGAGTATCCAAGGCCGCAGCATCCGCCAGAACAACAACGGATTCAACATCATACAGATGTGCGACCACAGTATGCCCCAGATCAACACAGAAGTATGCAAATTATAGATTCCTCTAAATCTAAGTACAATGCAGAACAACAGAGACTTCCTCATGTTAAAGACATGTTAAAGAACCAAATGCATCCTAATGAAAAAGACAGAGCTCAAACTTATTCAGATCAACAGCAATCCCAAATTATTGGCGATGAAGCTATGCAACGTTCTCAACGAGAGCCTCAAAATCGGACTGATCATTCTGTAAATCAAATGCAGCATCCTTTACAAACATCTCAACGAGCTGAGGATCCAAACTCTCATCACATTGTTCAGTATCCTACGGATAATAGTTTTGACTATTCAAAGACAAAAACGTATCATGTTAATGAAATTCCAAAGCCCAGACCTCAGCATCCTATAGTGAACCCGCCACAAAAACCTGGTTTGGCAGCTGATTTATCGCCACCTGAACAACATTCTTTGGAATACGTTCAACAGAGAGCCATTGTTCCTCAAGATATACACCAAACCCTCCCACCTCAAAGAAATCAACGACTACGGCAGCCTCCAGAGCAACAAATTATTCCTAGACCACAACATCCTCAACAACCTCCTGAAGAAATACCTCGTCATTCGCAAACAAATGTGCAAAACAATCGGATAGATGACAGCAAACACGAAGAGCTTTATTTGCAAGATAAACCTTCGCACATTCAACAGTATTCGAATGACAAGCTGCCTCCATCTAAATCCCAACATGCTCAACAAACTAATAATTCAAAATTAACTAATGGACAAATATATTCCCCAGAAAATTTTGGTGTTCAACATTCAAAGGAAATCTTACAATTTCCGGCAGGAAAAGCACCCTGCATAGAAGATACCAAAAGAAATCAGCAGGAAAAGTTCCGTCGCTTAGAAGGAAAACAACAGGAGCCAACAAATGTACCTGAACCTTATCCTCATGATAAAGTTTCGCAGCATCCTCAAAGACAGCATAAAACACAGTGCAGACCGGGTAAGGGACCTATTCAAAACGAAATTGTGGAACAACAAAAATTAGAGCAAAAACATTCCTTAATGGACGAAAGGAATGGTGTTTATGTCAGTTTGATGGAGCAAAAGATACCTCAAGAAAACATCCCAATTTCAACTAATCAGGAAAAGCAAAGGCAGCATGCACAATCTATGACAAGAAATGAGTTTTCATCCCCTTCTCCACCAGCTACACTTCCCCGAACTAAGCCGCCCGAAGTACCACAGCCTGCAATCAGGCCTGTCCGCCGAGAGAGGTCTTCAGGTAACCAGACGCTTCCTAGAACAGGGACGAATCCTTTTCGATCTGAAACGAATCCCTTCCGAAGAGAAAGTTTACCTCAAGATTTAGTCGACGCTGGTGAATATGTTACTGTGGCCCCACGTAGAGGCAGCCTTGATGAAAGACTGCGGCTTGCAGGTGACCCAAATCAGTTCATGAAGGTAGGTTTCGTTCAAATCATATTTTCGCATTCAAAGTATTAAAAACGTAATTAGTATAAATTTAATTGCAATATATTTCAAAGGGCCTTAACTTCAAGATAAAGAAAATTTGTTATAATTTAATTGGTAATTTTTTGCAAATAAAGTAAAAATACCATGCTACATAATCTTGTTTAACAATACAATGAATTTCATGTAATTTATTTTTAGTCCTAGTTTTTGTGCAAATTTACCTTTTTGTTTTACAGACATCTGAAGCTGGAGCCATTCGTACTATTGAGAGAGGTAGGTATATGTCTTGCTTTCTTATGGATATCTGTTTAATACTGAAGTTTAACTGCATTAACCCAATTACGAATTACGATTTTATCCTTAAAATAACCTGAAAATGTCTTCTTAAGATGCCTTCTTCGTAGGCAAATATTAAAATATACATAAGACAGCTTATCAATGAAAGAAGGTTTGGGATAGTTGTTTCCCTTTTCATTGTTTTCTTTCTTCTACTACAGACGGGCATTTTTAAGAAAATATTTGCAGAGACCTTTGGTTTCTCTCATTTTCTGGGAATATGATATTTTTTCTAACATTAATCAGTAAATGCATTTTAATGAACTGAAAATTTTAGGATTTTAAAAAGGAAGTCATTTAAATCAAGGTATAATTTAACATTTAATTAAGCCTACTTCAAAAATCTTTAGGAATTACAATGACATGTTTTGTTACATATTTCCTGTAAATAAATAAATAGTTTTTTGAAACAAACAAGGGTAACTAATTTTTTTTCTTTTTTTTATTCATGCCTAGAAGAACAACCTGTAAACGTTCTTTTTAATTTAACATAGCCTTTGAAATCTGCATAAAATTACAAAGGCAGATTTCCCTCCACCCACCAAAAAAAAAAAAAAAAAAAAAAAAAAAAAAAACCAGAAGAATACGGTTGAGCTCATAAGATTAATTAAAGTGTAATTTTAAACGAAGTTAACTGTAATATTTGTGGCATCATGTTTGAGATTAATTAATAAGTTTTATTTGATTCATATCTTTCATTTTTGCCTTATTTCGGCACTAGGTTCTCTCTTTCGAGAATTTATGCAGATTTGAATGCTAAGCACTTTTATCATAAATTTAAAGCAATAGCTTGTAGCCGATGTGTGAGGATTCTGGTGTTAACGCTGCTTGATTACCACAAAAATTATACCCTGACGAGGAAGGGCTGCAGTCGGAAGATAGATTTAGTTTGACAAGCTTACAATCATCAGTTCCTATTTGCTTTAATGCGTGGAAAGTTCAGCAGTTCTAAGGAAACCCCGAGGTTTCAACCAGATTCAAATCCCTGATAGCTTTGTTCAGGGACGTCGTCTCAGAGCATTAAGTTATAAAATGAACAAGTTCAGTGTGTTATTAGTATCTGTTTTAAGACAGGAAAAATTTCGCTTAGATCAAGACTGGAATCCAGCTGGTGTCCTATTCCGTTGTTTTTGAAGTTTTGAGTGACCCGAATTGCAATATTAACTAAGAATGCCGTTAACAGAAATTATCAATGACATATTTTATTTAGCAGTTAGTAAAACCGACAGTGATACTAGAAACAGAATAAATGACTGAATTTCCGTAGGAAAACCAAAACATGTGGGAAGACTTCAGCAGGCGATGAAAAAAATTCCGCCTTGGTTTAATGCGAACCCAAAAGAATTTTTATGGGCTATATTTATTTGGTCAAAATGTGTTTAAATGAATTGAAACCAAAATAAAAATGCACATATATCTCAGCTCGAAGAAAGTATTTTTCATCCCAATGAGATATAAGTGCATTTTTGTTTTGCTCTAAACAAAAATATTACTTTTTGTCTTGTCATCTCCCTGGATCGTAAAGCGATTAGCTGAGACGAACAACTAGTCTGAATGGCAAGATAAAGGTATGCACCCCATGTTATATTATTTATGTGTTCTTACGCCTTCTCGCAGGCGTAAGAACACATGATGTTATAAATTGATTGAATGATTTTATAAATTGCAATTAAAAAACCATATGAATATCATATAAAAGAAATAGTAATTTCTTAATTTATTTCAATAAAAAAGCACAATTTTAGGTCACAAAAAACGGATACACAAAGAAAATAAATCTTTTTTCCCCTCCGAATGTGTATAAAATGTGTAGCAAAATGTGTATTGAAAAATGGGAAATCAATTATATGTATTGTGAAACTCTGTTATGTCCAACAAAATAAGAAAACCTTGATTTTAATAATAAGCGAATCTGCAAACATTTGTGAAATTTCTAATTTCAGTTTATCCGAAATTTTATTCAATATATCTGACACTAGTCTTATGAATTATTTGAATTGAATGCTTTGCTTTTGAGATTGCAAATAAACGTGGACGTACATTTATACCGTCTGTCTAATATGATAAGCGAAATGTAAAAGACTGAGCTGGTGATTTTGCCAGTATCGACATTAATTATTATACTGCTCAACTTTTATCTAGTTTTAGTTGAAGGGTAAAGTACACTAAGCCTATCTGCCTAAGGGAGGGATTCCTTCATGGAGAATTTTCTAAAGGAAACTGGCTCGTATATAAGTTACACATGGGAAAAACCAGGAAAACGGCCATGCAGCCAGCCCGTTCGCCTGTAATCGAACCCATGTCGTAAAAGCAAGTGGCGATTTTGCCGCTCGGCCGTTGGTGGGCCCAAGTTCTATATGGCGGTAGGATGAATTAATAATTGACTTATATAAATTATGCTTGGAAATTAATAAATTAATTATGCTTGGAAATTAATAAATAAATTATGCTTGGAAATAAATTATTGTGCGATATGCATCAATCAAGCAAAATTAGTTCACGACTTTATAATAAAATATTAATAGAAATGTTTAAAATTACACAATTAAAATGCTTTTTAAAACACATGTGCCTTGGTATCTGATAAAATATTTAAGAAAAATATCAGTTTGTCTTTTAGACAAAATGTGTTCCCAAAAGCTAATAGACAAATGTAATTTCATGAAAATTGGTTATCAACAATCATGATGGAAACTTGAGCCTTTTATTTGATAACGCCGTCATTCAGGTCTCCAATTTAAAAAATCTGATGTGTACACCACGTGACTTCCTTGTACGGAATATTAAATTATACGCATTTTTCTTGCATTTCATTTAAACTTATTGGATTGAATTAAATCTACTTCGCCGACAGCGCATAAACCACAACAGAATAAATGCATTCTTTAAAATTCACTCTAGAATTTGTTTACCATAGCAACACTCTGGCGCTAGATTCAATAACAGTATTATATTTCATTCATATTATAACTCAGAATGCACAAAATTGCCACATGTTCTATTCAAATACTATAATAAAGCTAGAACGATGTATAAAGGAAATTAAGCAAACAAAACAAAAAAGAAACAGTTTTTCACAGACGATTGAGTATTTGTCATTCAATTAATTCAGTTCTCACTTCAAGACAAGGCAAAAATATATAAAAACTGAAAATATCTGTATTAAAAATCTTAACACTTATTTCCTCGAAAAAATACCAGAAAGGATTAAGCATGATTTAATTCGCAATAATAAATGAAGGCGTTATCTTTGTTGCGAAGCTAAGCTTCTCTAGATTGGCAACAAATCCACTATTCTGCTGTTTCAAATGTAAACAAGCAATGGCCGCCATCAAAAAAAATTAGTAGGCTTAGCGGTATTTAAACAAATCTAAAATTATTGATAATTCTAAAAATATTGCATACAGATTTATTAATGGCATAAAAAAATTAACCTGAAGATTAAGAACAATCATAATTCAATCATATTTGAAAGCGATAAATGTACAATTTAACAAACATATAAGAATAAAGAAACTGAGATCACAGAGCCGGGTAACAGCGTGGATATATTATAGACATATATTATATACACTTGTTGGTGCGGCCGATTGCAACCAACAATAACGAGGTGCATATCTGCATGTTATAGCAGTCCTATATATAAAATTTTCAACGTTCTGAGGATACGAGTTTTTGAGTTATGCGAGTTACATACAGACATGCTTACGTACGCACAGACGAAACGAAAAATTCTCTTCAGAATTCATTTTAAAGCATTTTTATAATTTTTTTTGGAGGAAAAGAGTCTTTTATTCTGTCCTTACGTACAGATAGCACGCAAAAACATCGTTAAATTGCATTCGATAGCGTTCAAAGTGGATATTTTCATTGAAATATGCTGCCTGAAACTTTTCGCGATTACAATACTTTTCGAGATTACAATACTTTTTACTTCTTACAAGGAAGTAAAAAGGAAAACGATCATTAGACCTGAGTTCAAATACGCCTGAAACTACGGCCTGTTGATGCTGAAATAAACAGGATTCTGATCTTTAAATTGTACGGTAAGACTGTTAAGGAAATTTCGAAACTTCTGAATCGATATGTAAGCATGATTTATCTTCTGATGTCACGTAAAGGGCCTTTCACATTGGGGTTTATCTGAGTTAACGGAGACAGGTGACGTACCGACCCATCTCCAAAACCAGTTTCTCTCCATAGGGCAGCAATTTGAAAAATCTGAATTGAAGGCATAGCAGAGCTAATCGACACATCGAACTGATGGAATCTTAATAGTCCTGACAGGTATTCATATTACTGGCCTGACTTACGAAAAGATCCTCGGAGCTATTTCAGTAGAAACAGTGGAGGTGGATCAGTTATGGCGTGGGAAGCTTTCGGTTCCACCAGGCAAGTGGGTTTCATCTTTTCTAGATGGTCGGCAAGATTCGTATAAATACATAGAAACACTAAGAGATCGTCTTATGTCATTTGCAGAAAAACTTGGGGGATAGAATTGGGTGTACCAGCATTACAGTATTCCCATTTATGCCTCTAATGCTACAAAAAGTTACTTAGACATGGGACCAATGAGGCCCCGATATTAACCCGATCGAGAATGTGTGAGGTATTATGTCTTGGAGAGTTTACGAGAACGAAAGGAGTTTTCTTTCGTGAATGTCTTAAAGGTAGACGTCGAGAGTACATGGTACAATGTGGAACCAGAGTTATTACCAAACTTAGTTCTCTCGATGGAGAAATGTTTATACGACGTCATTTGGAATAATGGGACGACTTTGAAGTATTAAGGAATTTGAAATCGTTCACAAGATGTTAAAATGCTAATATTCTATAACCGTTTGGGAAGCATATTCTTCTGTGTTTTTATTTTTTCTAAAATACCATTTGCTATTTTAGTTGAATAATTACTAGAATGCAAGTCGCATGTAATGCCA